ATCGTTGCCCAATCCCAATTTTCAGAAAGCTCGCCAACGCGTTGAGTTATATGGCTCCCAAATTCAATATTGGGACCGTCGATCCCACCATGCTCTGTAGTAGCGAATACATAGGTATGCAGTAAAAATCGCATTCGTTGTAACTATACTATTCTGAATCTGATTTCGTCGAAGCGTGTGTATTGACAACGTCAACCAGGAGGTAAATACCAATATCGATCACAGAGCCGTAAATTTAACTCAACGATTCCCCTTCCTACTTATCTCGCACATCAGTGCAGCAATGGCGAATGGATGAACTCAACTATCATGGCACAATACGTGTCCGCTGGGCGAATGTAACAATGAAGGCTGCTGAGGAAAATTGTGTTCATCTTGAGCAGATGGTTTTCCCTTTTATTTGCATGCAGGGGTAAGTTTCTGAGTATTCACGCCGATATACTTATTTATTTCCTTCCAAAGCTCGTGCCAATTTATCACTTTTCGATATCTGCGGTGACTTATAATTAGAAGAAGCCACTAAATTTGGTGATCCATCTCGCTATTCCACTCATTTTTCTAGAATGTGTGACGAAATCGTCATTCCGGAAGGGGCGTCAGAACTATTTGACAGGGCGACGAGTAAAGATAAAACGCTGATCATGTTTGAGGGTTGCGGACATGAAGTGCACAATGAATTTTCTACTAGTGTAAGTACAATTATTTGGTTAGCATTTCTTCAGTTTTTTATATGCAGGAGCATCTTTGTCGTCCGGTCTCGCCGAATTAGGCTATCGTCACGTCTGCTCCTTTAGAATTTACTTCTCTAGAATTTCTACGAGATTTTGGTGTCGCGAATCCTTGAATCCATTTTCTATCTTATGTGCGTGTACCTATGTAACTAAGATTTGCAATCTTTTAATACCAAACCATGCTGCACAGGACGTCGTGGATGACATGTCAAAGTGGCTATTGGATCGACTAGAGGCATCAATAGATGATAAGCGCGAAGAAATTGTAAAGTTCATACCGGCGACAGTCACACATCCCAATTTCTCCGACCCTGTCGACTTAGACCGATTATAACACCTTAGCGAGCCGACGACATTCCGGACGGGAATGGTCATGTCGGTTCAGATAAATAAGTATAGTAACTTGTGCGGCTGATTTGATGTACAGCAAGCGTAGTTTAACCGGACATTATTAACGCACTTGCAAACAAAAAAGAAGAGGATCAAATTTCAACAGTTTGGAAGGCGAACACTTTTCTTCTCTTTCAGGGATACCAAGCTGGTTTGCAAGAACATCAAGGAGCACCGTAGCGACCAACATGTCACTTATTTTAGAAAGTTTGTATCGTTGAGATACCTCTGAGCTTTTCAATGCCAACATATATGATAAATCTAAACATCACTAAACAATTTGACAGTCGTGCTAGGTGTCATACTGATAACCGATAATTGTGCCAGCATGTGGGGTTGCGTCTGGCTTTAACCCAACAAATCTTTTTGGGTAAATTGTAACTGTGTCCAACAGCTTCTGCGTAACATAGACAACCGCAACATGCGATGCATTGAATCAAGCTAGTTCATGGATTATGGTGTGCAGTGCCTCGCGGTCATACCAGGCCATTGTCGAAATGATCTACGGCGTAAAAAATGCGAGAAATACGCAACAGATTCACGATTGTCCTTCGGACAATAGTTTTTAAAATCAGGCATATTATTTTGTTGCTTCTCTAAAGAGTGTCATGACCGATTGAAGAATTGTGTGGAAAAATGTCGACACAGTCGAAACGTTTTAGATAAATTGATTGGCACTGGTCCACTAAAAAGATATCTCTGTTAACTCAGTTGGTTAGAGTGCGGACCTAATAAGTCCGAAGTCACCAGTTCGAGCCTGGTACGGAGAATTTTTGTTTTTATTCTCTCTATCTATTTCAAAATGATGAATATATTTTTCGGCTGCCTTTCTAGACCAGTTTAATATTCAATAAGAGCCCTTTTTATTAAATCACATCATAGCCAAATAGAACACACATGTCTATTATAAACCGTGCCAGGGGAAATGTGAAATGCTTGGTAGGCTCTGCCCGATCCTTAAGTCTGTAGAAATACACATAGCAATGTTTGATTTAGAACTTATTTAGAAGGCTATGAAATACATGCATCTA